TCCGCAGATACACTCAAAGTAAAGGAGAGGAAGAAGAAGAAAGGACAGGTAAGCGTGGGCTTGGAGACCATGTGCAGCTCTGTTTTTGCAACCTGAAAGGACTTTAAGGCCATTTGGTTTTCCTGGGCTCTTTGTGCTGTGTTCTCCTTCTCTGATTCTGGTTTCGTGGTGTAGGAAGCTGGAGGATTTTTTGAAGATGCATCTCAGTATGACGAGAGCCTCTCATTCCAGGACATGAACCTTTCCCGACCTCTTCTGAAGGTAGCGGCTTCTCTTGGTAACCATGGGATTATTGTAGTAGCCCCCTAGTTGGGCCCTGTGCTTCTCGCCTTGCCTCCCTAAGCTCTGTTGTTCTCACAGCTGCTGGACAGCCCTCTCGAACAATAAGTTACATCATGTTCCTCCTCTTCTCCAAGCCCTCTGGTGGCTCCCAGTTGTCCTTGGGGTAAAAGCTAAAGTCCTTACGTTGGTTTACAAGGCCCTGCCCCTTCTGATCCCTTCGGATGTCACTTATTCTGCTCTGGCCACACTGGCGCCCTTGCTGACCCTTAAACAGGTGAGGCAGCCTTCTTCCTCAGGGCCTTTGCACTTGCTGTTCCCTCTGCATAGGACACTCTTCCCCCAGAAAGCCACTCGACTTGCTCCCTCACCTCCTTCAGGGTTTACTCAATATTCAGTATCTGTTTGCTCAATGAGGCCTTCCCTGACGACTTAAATTGGACTCCATGCCCTTCTACCTCTGCACTCCCCATCCCCTGGACTGCCATATTTTTCTCCAGAACATTTATCTCCATGTGACATATGTTTATTTTTTGATCTGCTTCTTTCTACCAGATTGTAAGATTCATTAGGGTAGGTTTTACTTCTTTGCTTTACTGCTGTATTCTCAGGGCCTAGAACTCGGTGCCTGGCACATAGTAGGCACTTGATAAATGTTTGTTGAGTGAATACGTAGGAGGGATTGGTATAGTTATCACTTGTTTGGAAACCTGCCCTGTTTGTTTCGTGCTGAGACTCCCTTTCTCTCCTGCCTGACACTGTGTTTTCACTTCAGGCCATTACAGCCATGGGCTTCAAGCAGCCCACCCCGATCCAGAAGGCATGTATACCTGTGGGTCTGCTGGGGAAGGACATCTGTGCCTGTGCAGCCACTGGGACAGGTAAAAGCATAGGGACTCAAGGGGGCAGAAGAATGTGGAACCCAGAATAACACCAGAAGGCCAATTTGCTAATTTTTTTTTTTTTTTTTTTTTTTTTTACTATTTAAAGAGTTTACAGCACTTCATTGAATTGATGGTTTTAATGGCTTTTGAAAATTTTTGGGAGTCACTGGGTGGCATAAACAGTTAAGCGCTTGACTACTAACTGAAAGGTTGATGGTTTGAACCCACCCAAAGGCACCTTGGAAGAAAAACCTGACCATCTACTTCTGACAGGTCACAGTCTTGAAAACCCTATGGGGTGCAGTTCTGTTCTGCACACATGGGGTCGCCATGAGTTAAAATCACATTGATGGCAACTGGTTTGGTTTTTTTGGCTTTTGAAGATTCTGGGAACTTCGAATTGACCTGTTTCCATTTTGTCTTCATAGCAGCTCTTCACAGACTGTTTAGTTGGCTTCTGCCGCTCTGTTCCCTCTGCCTGTAGCTGGAGGGAATTGGAGGGAAGGGGAATCACCCTTGGAGGGAGGGCCTGGGAGGAGAGCACAGCCTGGACTGCCCATCCCGGAGGCTGAGAACTGGGGCAGGGCTAGGGGTGGCTCAGGGAGACTGGGATTAGCTCTGTCGGGTTCCTGCCGGAAAGGCGGTCGGGGGACAGATTGAACTGTGCAGTCTGTAAATTGCAGCGATGAAAACGAAACCAAAGGCCAGCCCACTGCAAATCCATGCTTAAAGGAACGGGGAACGGGGCGAGTCGGCCTCTTCCCACAAAGCACAGCAATCAGCTTTCACACGGGCCTGAATGGGACGGCTCAGCCATTCTCAGTCCTGTCTCTTCGGGCCACAGATGACAAATGACAGCAGTGTGTGTGGTCGGCACTGCCTGGGTCACTCGTTGCTGCGCTTGGTCTCTTCTTCCAAACCACAAAGCCAGTTGGGGCCAAGTGTGTGCCTCTTTGCATCCTAAAGCCAAGGACAGTTTTGTTTTACTGATGCTTGGTTTGCATTTTTGTGAAAGATCAAGAATTGTGGCACTTTGCTCGTTCACACAGTGCTGGCAGGAGGTTAAATGATTCTTTTTGGAGGCAGTTTGGCTACATATCCTAACTCTGAAAAGTGTTATTAAGAGTTATTCTATTCTGTTTACAGTAATTTATCCTAAAATAAAGGTGGATGAAACCAGGGCTTTTCAGAGGTTGAGAAGGCCAGGTTCAGTTCTGTATTTTGAAGAAATGACAAACCAGGGTTTTAGGAATTCTGGCTTGTGTTGATTAGTTTCTTTTTTTTTTTCTCTTTTTTAAAATTTCTGTTTCTGAATAGATGATTCATATACATGGCTCAAAAATCAAATACTGTAGAAAGGTATGCAATAGAAGACTCCCAGTTTCCACCCCCTCACCCTAACCACATTTCTTAGACATCTTCCAGAGTTTTTTCAAATGCAAATGTAATAGACATGTATTTCAATTCAAATGCAAATAAGTACATGAATACTTCTCTCTTTTTTATACAAAAGATAGGAAACTATGCACCGTTCAGCGTTCAGCGTGGGGCTTTTTTCACTTGAGATGTCTTGGGTATCTTTTCCTATCAGTACTAGTGCAGCCGTATAGTCCTCCTTTGTGTGTATGTCGTGGTATATTTTACTTTTGTGAGTTTTTATTTATTTTTAAATGAAGTGTAACTTATATATAGTAAAGTTCACAAGTCTTGTTGTTAATTGCTGTCGAGTCATTTCTGACTCATGGCGACCCCACGTGTGCAGAGTAGAACTGCTCCATAGGGTTTGCAAGGCTGTGACCTTTCAGAATCGGATCGCCATGTCTGTCTTCCGAGGTGCCTCTGAGTGGATTCAAACCGCCACTCTTTCAGCTAGTAGTCAGCACTTAACTGTTTGTGCCATCCAGGGACTCCCCATAAGTCTAAGTGGGCATTTTTACGTATGCATATACTCATGTTGTACTGTATTTTACATGTTTATGTGTAACAAATTAATATTTTCAGCACCAAAAAATGTGAAAGATGAGTTGCTTCATTTCTCCCTGACTGGATATGTAGGTTCTCTGTGCTCAGTGAACACCTAAAGCTTGAAGGAGCCAACCCCTTCTCATTGTTTGTTGTTGCCTGTCCTCCAGGTAAAACCGCTGCTTTTGCCCTGCCCGTTTTGGAGCGTCTGATCTACAAACCCCGCCAGGCTGCAGTAACCCGTGTGCTGGTGCTGGTTCCAACTCGGGAGCTGGGCATCCAGGTGCACTCTGTCACCAAGCAGCTGGCCCAGTTCTGCAGCATCACCACCTGCCTGGCTGTGGGTGAGTTTCCTGCCGAGGGCTGGCAGCCTGAGAGACCGTGGCCTGGTGGAGGCCTTGTTCTCTGAGGATAACCAGTGTCGGGAAAGGCCCCTCGTGTTGATTGCATCCACTTACAATCTGGGATGACATTTTAATAGCAGATAGTGGGGGCAAAGGGTAATTGGGACTTAAGCAACCTTGAAAAAGTTATGAAAATGTTATTTATTTTTCTTGATACTGAAAGGATTTAGGTTCTAATTGTTGGTTAGTGGGAGTAATGAATCACGTTATCGGTTGTTTTGGGCATCGTTTCACCAGTGAAGTCACATGGTCTTGTGATTTGACCTTCTTCATTGTACCCTCTTTTCGCTCAGTTTCAGCGGCAGACTCGTGATGACCCCGTGTGTGTCAGAGTAGGGCTGTGCTCCATTTACCTTCCTCAGGCAGTTGGAAGTCAGGGGTGATTTTTGCACACACATGCAAGGATAGCATGAATTTTCCCAGCTGCCTCTCAGCCCCTGGTTGTTGGAGTCATTCTGTTCTGAAGGCCTTGTGTCCTCATTTTTATCATTTTTGCACTTAACCTAACCTAACCGGTTGCTGTTGAGTCGATTCCAGCTCATAGCTACCCTGTAGGCACTTAGCAAAATCATAATGAAATAATGACTCTCCAAATATATTGTACAGTCCACGCGAGCAGAGACTCTGCCAGTCTCTGCCGTTTCCTTTGCTGTCGGCATGGACCTGGCAGGTGGCAGGTGCACAGGAAACGCGAGTGAGCGACTCAACTGGCCGCCTTGGGGCTCTTCTCTGTGCAGGCGGCCTGGACGTGAAATCTCAGGAAGCAGCTCTTCGGGCTGCGCCTGACATCCTCATCGCCACCCCGGGCCGGCTCATTGATCACCTCCACAACTGCCCTTCCTTCCACCTGAGCAGCATTGAGGTACTCATCCTGGATGAGGCTGACAGGTACACCTGAAGGGTGGGGGCCCCGCATCTGGAGAGAGGCGTAACAACCAAATGTAGTGCATGCACTTTGGTTCCTGGACTAAAAAATTAAACGATGGTTGTCAAATGACATTTTGGGCACAGTTGGGGAATTTTAATAGGGACTTGACTTTAGATATTATTCAAGCACTGTTAAATTTTTTGGGTGTGGTAATGACATTGGCCATGTAGGTCATTATTCTTATTTTGCTGAAATATTTGGGGTAAAGTGTTATGTTGAATTATTTGCAAATAATTAAGCAAAAACAAAACAAAAAAAGATCCAGCCAGTATGGTATGATGATAATTCTTGGTGAATCTTGGTGAAAAGGTAAAATAATAACAGCAATAGTAATGTTGTCAAGTCAGCCACTGACTTATGGCAACCTCACATGCAATGGGAATCAGCCCATTGTGATCCATACAGTTTTCTTGGGCTGATTTTTCAGAAGTAGATTGCCAGGCCTTTCTTCCTACTCTGTCTTAGAAGTTCTGATGAAAGCTGTTGAGCATCATAGCAACATGCAAGCCACCACTGACAGACAGGTGGTGGCTGCGCTTGGGGTACATTGGCTGGGAATTGAACCCAGGTCTCCCGCATGAAAGGCGAGCATCCTGCCACTGAACCACCACTGCTCCCCAGCAATAGTAATAATGGGAATAAAACAAATGAGAGTGAAACGTAACTAGCAACAACCACGAAACAAAGGCCTGTCTGGTTCTCTCTACCTCTGCACTACCGTGACAGAAAAGAACTCAGTCTGTGTGTGTGGTTTCCCTCCTCTCCCTGCTCGCCAGGATGCTGGACGAGTACTTTGAGGAGCAGATGAAGGAGATTATCCGAATGTGCTCCCACCACCGCCAGACCATGCTCTTCTCGGCCACGATGACGGACGAGGTATGAATGGAGGGCCAGTGCCGAGGGCCCAGGCTGGGCTTGAGGGTGGTGGTTGGGGACAAGCACGGTGTTGCTTCTTCCCCATCTTCTCACAGTGGGGTCACCGTCCCTGTCGTTGTGCTTGGCAGGTGAAAGATCTGGCTTCGGTCTCCTTGAAGAATCCTGTCCGCATATTTGTGAACAGCAACACGGATGTGGCTCCCTTTCTGCGGCAGGAATTCATCCGGATCCGCCCCAATCGAGAAGGGGATCGGGAAGCCATCGTGGCGGGTAAAGCCGTGGGGCAGGCTGGGAGTGGGGGAGTGGGCAGGTCCCTGGCCTTCTGGTGTCCACACCGGTTTTTTCCCCTGTGCTGCCTCCTCCCAGACTTCCGGACCGAGTAAGTGGCCCTGCCACTCTCTTCTTTCTCCACGAGTCTTTCCTCTTCTCTCATCACCTCGCCTCCCTCCCACTATCCAGTACTTTCTATGTCCTGCTGAACTCCCAGCCGCTTCCCACCACCTGCCCCTCTGGCACTTGAGTCCAGGCCACTCTTGTCTGTCCCTGGATCACTGCAGTGGCCTCCTGACTGCTCTTCCTGCTTCCACTCTGTCCACTTTGTAAGCCCTTCCGCACCACAGGTCATTTGAAATGATCGCGTGTAAGTGAACATTCACTCCTGTTACTTCCCTATTCACAACCCTCCAGTAGATTCCTCTGCTAAAATCCAAGCTCCCTAGTGAGTCCCGCCGGACCCCCGTGATGGGCCCTCCCCACCTCAGGTGTTGCTGTCCAGCCACGGTCACCTTCTTTCTGAAACCCATCGGGCTTGAGGCCTCTATGTTTGCTGTTTCCTCTGCCTGGAATCTTCCCGTGGGTGACCCCCATCCTCCCTTCTCTCTCTCTCATGGTGTTTCTCACCCTTGGGCATTGGCCTTGGTCTCTGTTCTGGAGTATGAGCTCCACAGGGGCAGGGGCCTTGCCTGTCTCCCATGCCAGGCACAGCACCCGACACCTAGCAGCTGGGGAGGGTGTGGGAGTTGAATAGGAGACTCAGAGATGACTGTCTGCTCACTGTTTCCCCCTGCCAGCTCTGTTGACAAGGACGTTCACCGACCACGTGATGCTGTTCACCCAGACCAAGAAGCAGGCCCACCGCATGCACATCCTGCTGGGGCTCATGGGGCTGCAGGTGGGCGAGCTCCATGGCAACCTGTCCCAGACGCAGCGGCTGGAGGCCCTCCGGTAAAGCTCGGGGTGGGGCTGAGGTCCCACCACCCTCCACAGCCAGGCCAGAGGGGTGCTCTCCTCAGTTGATAGAGGAAAAATAGGACCCAGAGGCTTATGTTAGAGTGATCGCAGGGCATGCAAAGTCCTCAGTTGCCCACTTTAAAAACGTTACTCCAAGCCCTATACGGTCATGTCTTCCATACGCTGACACTTCTGACTTCATAGGCTGACAGAAGGTGATGCTTGTGCCCCAGTACTTGCGTGTGGGAGCTCTTGAGTGGGGCCACAACAGGAAACTCCACCTGGAAAGACACGGCACGTGGTCTGTGCTCGACACCTTTCCCGGAGCAGTGGATGTATCCGGGCCTGACAGAACAAGAGTTCGAGCCAGCAGCCATTTCTTGGGCATCTACTTCACCATGCCCTGTGCTGTGCTTTTCCGTGTGATTTCCTGCTGAATCTTCACAATAACCAAGACGTTAAGATTTTGGTGGCATTACCATAAAGCAGAAAGGAGTGAACCCAGTAGGCAAGGAGGAACCCTTCAGAGCTTTCCACCTACCCCTGTTCATCACAAGGGAACTGCGAGTTGTTTTTAAAGAAAGGCTGAGACATTTGCATATGCGTCTTCGGATAGTCTAGCCTAGTGGTTCCCAAACTTCAGTATGTGTGAGAATTACTGCTTAAGGTTGTGTACACAGAACTACGCTTGTTCTAGTTGATGGTTTGTGTAGGGGTTGGTGTGAGTATCGGATCCACCCACTGTGATGGTCTGCACCCGCTCTGCCCTCTCCTGGCTCGGGCCCCTGCAGAGTAAGGCATTGGGTGAGCATCTCTGTCTATGGCTGTTTCTAGGCGCTTTAAGGATGAACAGATTGACATCCTAGTGGCCACAGACGTGGCAGCCCGTGGACTTGACATCGAGGGTGTGAAAACGGTGAGCAAGCCCCATCTTCCTTAAACTTTTGGTAGGATCCTCTTTATCTCCTTGCACAGCCTGCCCCCTTCTCCCAGGTCTGCCTGATGCTCCATTTTGACGTCCTAGGTAATCAACTTCACGATGCCCAACACCATCAAGCACTATGTCCACCGGGTGGGGCGGACGGCGCGTGCCGGCAGGGCTGGGCGCTCGGTGTCTCTAGTGGGAGAAGAGGAGCGGAAGATGCTGAAGGAGATCGTGAAGTCTGCCAAGGCCCCTGTGAAGGCCCGGATACTGCCTCAAGGTGAGCAGCACTATGATCGTCGCGGCTCAGGGTGGTTTGGGTGGATGGCCAGGGTTCTGGATCAGACCCATGGGACGGGGGAAGGCTTAGAGTGTAGTGGGTGAGAGCAGGTGCTTTGCAGTCAGGAGCCAGGTTTGTATCCCAGCTCTTGGACAGGTCTCACCTTGCCTCTGGGCTTTTCTGTCTCCCTGTCTGAAAGGGAATAACAGTAGAGCTGCAAACACTGCCCCACTCATAGTTATTTTTCCAGACTTTAGAAAGAAAAGGTCTCTTCTTGGGGCAAAATCTCCGCTAACCCTTTCCTGTTGGTGGGGGGCAGGGAGTGGGGAGGAGGTCAAGTCTCATTCTCTTAGGATATCTTTCATTCTTTTTGTTCTTCTGATCTGCCCCCATTGCCGTCAAGTTGAATTCCAACTCATAGCAACCTGTAGGACAGTAGAACTGCCCCATAGGGTTTCCAAGGCTGTAAATCTTTACGGAAGCAGATCGCCAAGTCTTTTCCTGCAGAGTGGCTGGCAGGTTCGAACTGCCAACCTTTTGGTTAGCAGGCGAGTGCTTAACCACTGTGCCTCTAGGGCGTAGGGGTCATACAAAGCACATCCTTTTTAAAATTGATTTTTACAGAGTTAGAGAAATAAGATGTGTTCGTTATTGGTAATTAGTAAATAAAATAAGAGCAACAATATAATTCTACCTCAGAGAGCTCATCACTGTGAACATTTACGTACATACTCCTTCAGGTCTTTTTTCCACTCATGTCTGTCTTTTTTTGTTTCTTTTCCATTTCATTCATTCAGTCAGCAAATAATTATTGAGCACTACTGTGGGCCCTGGCGGTGCAGTGGTTAAGAACTCGGCTGCTTACCAAAAGGTCAGCAGTTCAAATCCACCAGCCGCTCCTTGGAAACCCTATGGGACAGTTCTACTCTGTCCTGTGGGGTCACTGTGAGTCAGAACCGACTCGACGGCACCTCACAACAACTGTGCGTCAGGTACTGTTTATTGTAGGTGCTGCAGGTACAGCAGGGAACAGAACAGAGCTGATACTCTGGTGGGAGAAAGAGACAGTAAATAAGCTAATGGTAGATGTGGCTGAGTGTGGAGGGGGAGAGGTGACTGCTTTAGGAAAGCTGTTCAGGAAAGTCCTCTGAGCAGATGGCATTTGAACTGAGTCCTGGATGATAAGAATGAGAGGCCCTGAGAGATCGTCCAAGCAGAGAGAACAGAGGCGAAGGCTCTGGGGCAAGAGCAAGGCATGTGATAAAAAGAGAAGGCAGGTCAGAGATCCCAGGGCACGGTGAGCAATGAGGGCAGTGGGGAAAGAAGTAGATCAGAGCCGTAGGCAGGGGCCACTCTTAGAAGTCTGGAATTTATTCCAAGAGTAACAGGAAGGCTTTGTCAGGCATTAAACAGAGAAGTCACACATAGAACATTTTCTGTGTTAGTAAATACACCCCTACATTATTTTCATCCGCTACACAGCATTTATGGAGCCCCAGTATAAGCACTTGGCTGCTAACTGAAAGGTCGGCAGTTCAAACCCAATAGCCGCTCCTTGGGAGAAAGATGTGGTAGGCTGCTTCCACAAAGATTACAACCTTGGAAACCCTATGGGGCAGTTCACCTCTGTCCTGTAGGGTTGGTATGAGTCTGAATCGACTTGATGGCAGCGGGTACCCAGCATTCACCCTTATTTTTAAATCCTTTTTATTTTCGTCCCTCAAGATGTCATCCTCAAATTTCGGGACAAAATTGAGAAAATGGAGAAGGACGTGTATGCTGTCCTGCAGCTGGAGGCTGAGGAGAAGGAGATGCAGCAGTCGGAAGCCCAGGTGCGGCTGCCAGCAGGCCTCTCGCCTGCAGTGCTGCGTCAGGCAGCACGCTGTGTCAGTCCCTGCTCGTTCTGCTCCTCTGACACCTCTTGTCTGGCAAACGTATCATCAGAGCCCCCAGCCTTGGCAGGCAGTAGCTTCCTGCCACTGCCATATTATTTGTTACCAGATGTGGGTTTTGTGGCAGTCAGTGGCCATACTGACTCCTTTTGTTGTCCCCACAGATCAATACAGCAAAGCGGCTCCTGGAAAAGGGGAAGGAGGCCCTGAACCAAGAGCCAGAGAGGAGCTGGTTCCAGACCAAAGAAGAGAGGAAGAAAGAGAAGAGTAAGTCAGGAGATATTTAATATATATTCCCCATCTCTCTCCCCGCCCCCCCCTTTTTTTTCACACAAATGAGTTCACATTGTTCGACATGTTTTTTCACTTCATAGCATGAAGATCATTCTACATATGCATATATATCGCTGCTTC